GGGAGCCGTCCGGCCCAGCAAGGCCCTCCATGCAATTCATTCCTCAGCGCAAAGTTCCGGTAAACGTTTATTTTCAGCTTTGTCACAATACCAGAGTTGATTTGTGAAACCGTTCTACAAATACTGAACTACATAGTACATTGATGGGGTGGTCAGATAAGTAATAAATAAAGGCATGTATAGCTCTGTAAAAAATAAGTCTGATCTATTTGTAACTACTTAACAATATTACCAGCACAATCTAGTATGTCCCTACGGATCATATGTCAAAAGTATACATACAGCATCTCTTCAGACCAGGTTATTTTGTACATAAACACAACTGTACAAACTGAAACACTACAACCTTGAAATCCGATGTACAAACGAGATGTGAAGTCACCATCAGTGCCGATAACGAGTGCTACCGCAGCCAACACCGTTTCGGAGTAAAAGGAAAAGATCAGTTTTCAAATGTGCTGTCATCACAGTTCGATGGGATTATCCAAAAGTTTAAAATACATGCGGATACGATAAAACCTTTTATTTTCCAACTCAGACAAAGAGAACTTGGGGTCATTTACACCATTAGCTGCCAAATACAGATCAGTACGTGAGGCAAATCACACTGAGAAACTTCTACACCATCGAAGAGCTAAGATTGATACTGGTCTATTTTCCACAGGAATGATGCAACGAGTCTTTAAAAGCAAACCACAATTTGCAGGACGCACTATCAAGTACAGCACTGAATTACACCGGGTTTGTTTATACACCGCACTCCGACACCCAACACCACTTTTAAAAGCATCACATTCCCAACACAGCAGGTCGGTTATCTACAGGTGAGGTGGGCGCTCCCAAGGAATCACGACCCACATCAGCTCTGCAAAACCAGGAGCGTACTGAAAATACTGCAGGAGTCCGAAATACTCGGTCTGGAAGTCAAAGCGTAAAGCCCTTCGGACCCTGCCGGGATTCCTGACACCTGACGGCCCTAAACCACCGTGTCAGCCAGTTACACGGGGTGACACTCTGCCAGGCGGCCGCTGGAACGGGAAGGTCTCGGTCAATCGGTGCCGTTCCGGCCGGGCAGCCTTTGGAGGCGCCTTCCCCCGGCCGGCCGCCGCGGGCAGTGGGCTGTGAGGGCAGCGCCCAGCCGCTGCCACCCACCTCGGTGGGCAGAGCAAGGGGCGGGGAGCTGCCAGGTCGGGGGGCCATTCCCGTTTCTGCCCCCGACCCGGGTGAGTCCGTCAAATTCTGTGCCTCGGTTTATCCGCGGGTGACGAGGTAGCCCCTGCATGCCTCTGCGGATCCGTGCGAGATGCTCCTACCGCTGGCAACACAAAAGCAGCGCAACCACCGTCACCCGGCCGCGTTCCGTACAACAGAGCAAACACCTCGATGGACAAACTGGGTGAATCGGTGTGGGAAGTACTTGTAAAAGGTATTTACAAAAGTTGAAAGAGATTAAATACAATACCACATTCATGTCCCAAAAGCGCTTTCACTACAGTGCATGTTTAAAAATACAGAGCATTTTTAAAAGTATATATAGTGAAGATTAGATTGTGCTTTAAAAAAAAAAATCGTTACTTCTGAATTTGACTAATGTGGAAACAGTGCTGGGAAAAATACTGATTAAAAATATCCAATTTTATATATACCGCTTTTCACATAACATTCTGCTATACATGGGATGCAAGTAAATATAAAAATACTTTTTTCAAGCAGCAGGGTGATCAAAATGAATATAGGAGGGCTGATTTTACAAAACTAAGATAAATGATTAGAGTGAGACAGGGAGAAACTATAATCCAAATTAACTTTTATATAGTTTTTTAAAAGAAATCTTTATCATAGACAACTCTTAATATATAAATGATTCAGTATTTTTAACTCCAACATTAAATAGGGGTTACATAAAATACAATCTATGCAAAACTGCCTCATGCACGTAGTCCTACGGAAGTTCATGGAGCCGCTTACACGAGCGAGGTTTGCAGACTTTGGTTCTCAGGCCTCTCATTTAGCAGAACACATAAAGACCTGGCCAGCTTGGCTAACCGACTCCTGAATTCCAGGCTGGTGTTTCAGCCCAGTCCTCTGTGCACAACAGCAGGGAAAACGGAGGTTTCGGGGAAGACTCTGCACTACTGTGGAAAAAGAGCTGTAAAAAGGAATATACTGCAATTTGCATTTTCAGCTTCACAAAGCGGCCTGTTTGTTGCCATAGTGCTTATCTGTTCACAGGAAAGATTTTAAGTTACGAAAAGCAGTTGCTTTGCAACTTGAAATGTGCATTTCTTGAAAAATGGGGTGCTGGGGGCTTTACAGATGACATAAAAACCTGAAATGGGTTACAACAGTGGCAACCGCCTGTGAGCTTCAACTGCGCTGAACTAAAGTGATCACAGCTTGGAGTAAAGGCCATTAACATGGATTTTAAAATAATCCCTCATGTAAATGTCACATACAGCCCAAAAGAAGTTAGGCAAATAACACACATTTTAAGAAGAGTATTAAAACCTCAGCATCAAGAGAAAAACAAATTCACCCCACAGTTACATTCAGTCAAGCGTCACAGCCCACGAGCTCTACCCACGAGCCCAGCAGCCACCGAGCGCCCGGCTGTGCCCAGCGGCCCTGGCCAGTCCCGCAGGAGCCGGCGCTCGCAGCCGAGGCAGCAGCAGACACGCCGCCCTCCCTGTTTGTTCCCCTTCCTTTTTCGCCAGTCCCTGCCACAGACCCAGCTTTGTGGCGGGTTTTTTTTTTCCTTTCTTTGTTCGTTTAGACGTTATGGAAGATGTAGCTCCTCAGCTCTGGTCCATTTTACCTCTCATGGTATCGATACTGTGCTCATCGCTACGGTTTGGATGCTTCCCCTCCCTCCCCCCGTTTATATCCTTGAATGCCGCAGGTCACCACGTCCAACCACTTACCGGGCTTTCTTCCCTGAGGTTACCTTTGTTTCAATGCATTTCAGCAAACCATAAAAGCCAGTGGCAGTCTACCAAGCTAGTTAATTCTAAGGTTACAAATACATAGAATCCTTCAAAATAAAATTGCTGCAAAGCTCCTACCTCACTTTGAAATGTGCCCGTTCAACGCACCCTTCTCACAAGGTGACTGACTCTCCCCAGAACCCAATATACTGAGGACACAGACGTCAAGCAAAAAGCTCCTATAAAACTATTACAATTTTAGAAAAAAAATCCAGATCTTCCTGAAGGTAATTTATTGCCGCTTATTGGTCCTGAGAAAGCTTTAAGCAACAATACATTTGCAAGAGTTTTAACTGCTGCCTTTTTTGAGAAAGTACGTGGGTCCTGAGATAAAAATCATGTTTTGTTCTAAGCACTTATGCCCCCAAAATGCTTTGCTGTGAAGACCAAATATGAGTTACAATTTGCCACGCTACATCTCTTCCCTTTGTGTCGATTTATTAAAACAGATTTCCTTTCAGACACCAAACTAAAGTTCTCGAGATGAAAGGCAATGAAATAACGCCACACGTGCACTTCTCAATCCCTCACACTGGACTGGCATTTAAGGACCTGAAATTTCTGAAATCTTCCTTCTCCCTTATTCCTCGCCTCCTGTTAGAAGCTATGGTGTGAATTTTTTGGCCTGGATACCAGAAAATTCCTCATCTGATACTCTATGAAAGGCAACTTCAAGGCAATGAAATAAGCCAACAATAAACCAAAAACATTCACAACTTTGAAAAAAAATGTGGACCCACGGCAGTTACTTCTCAATGAAAGTGTTTGGTAGATTTTTTTTTTTCTTTTTAACTTTTTAAGTGTCAAATTTGCATATGTTTAGCTCAATTTCAATATCTGAAAGACTACTCAATTTGCTTTTATAAAAACTTTACAAAAGATGTTTTTAAATGCTTGTAAAAGTAAGCGTTTACCTACTGAGAAAATTCTAGTACTGGATAAAACTCTCTGAATATACAGCTGAATTTTTTAAATTTTTTTTTTTCCTACAAGTATAATGGCTGAGTGTATAATCTAGATAAATTAGTCTTACACATGATGAAAAGTTATAACTTTGCACACTTTTTACCATGTGATGTTTTGTTGCTTTGTAACTTCGAATGAGACAGTGCTTAGGAATTCTCTAGAGCTGGTGTACAGTGGTCTATAGGGGTCGGTTCACTGGTCACTGCCTCTGTCCAGGTTTTCGATCACCCTGGAAAGACGTATGTTCAGAAGTCTGATCTGGCTGTCGAGGTGGTCCATCTTCTCCTCAAGGCTGCTGTTGCTGTTTCTTCTCCAGTAAAATCCAACCGGCCCTGTCATGAAGTAGACAGCTACGACAAAGCAGAGAGGCAGGACTGCGTGTTCTGGGTCACCTTCGTACTTCTGGAGGATGTACACGCACGAGAGAGTGAAAAGGGCGACCCTCGCGATCCAGAAAAAGCGGCCAAACAGCATGTGCAGAAGATAGAAGAAGAATCCGAGGAAGAGAGATAAAAACCAATAGGCAAGTAAAATGGCACCAATCAGCAGAAGAGCACGGGTCGGGTTGTTGGCAATCGCCGCTGGGCTGAAATAATGAGTCAAGTTGGAGGCTGAAAGACAAAGGGAAATGTACAGAATATTAACGAGTGCGTGCCACTGTGGTAAGGGTGAAAACGCAAGAACAGCTTCAAACGGTCATGCAGCAGGGTCACGGCTCTGTTTTCTCAAGACAAAGCTAGTCCAGCCATTTCTGGATGGACCTTTTTCAAATCACTGGCTCAGCTCCAATGATGCAATTGAATCAGTTCCTTTAAAGCAGAGGTGCTAAAGGTTCTTTAAAGACAAACTACCGTAGGGCCTAAGGTCAAAGTTCTACTGAGATTAAAGATCCTACTTTGTAAAAGTGGTATTCTAAAGGCTCTCAACTGCACCTTTCCTTCTTCTTTACCCTCCTTTATCTCCCTGCACCGTTCCTGGCCATGTGCATCCATTTAACAGGGATATCGAGACACAAATCACAACTTGTAAAGCATTTTATAGACATCGTGTAGATACACGTGCAGAAACGGAACGGCTGGTTTTAGTCGTCTCGTTCGAAGGTACTAATAGCAAAGTCAAAGCCATGTGAAGCGGATAAACACTGATGGATGTTTAATGCAGCGTGATAAAATGTAATTATTTTCCCACTCGGCCTATGCTCGTCAACATCAACACAACTGATGTAGTTCAAGAGTTAACAGGCATCACACTTACCATCAATTCCAAGAACATCTAACAAATCAGTCCATATTCTCCAGAATGTGTCCATTAATATATCCACCCCATTCACAAACCTCTCTGTCAACCTTGAGAAAAACTGAGAAATAAAATTGAAAATTAAAAAAAAAAAAATCCTCAATTCCTTAAACACACTTTGAGACTTACCAGTCATGGGTAGAATTATAATTCATTAAACAAGAACTGCAAGGTAGTTTGAAGTTCCCAAGAAAAAAAAAAAAAGTAACTCTGTAGATGTTTTTTAACTCTGCAAATCATAGATTTACTCATTACAATTGTCCTTCGTCTAGGTATTTTGGCACATAAATGTGTGTGGTGACAGGATTTAAAAATGCACGTTATTAGCTTTACCATTGTCCTGAAGTTTAAAGAAAACGCTACTACTAGCAATTAAAGCAAACCAGAGCAACTGAGAGACATCCCCAGCATCACACCCAAATGTCTCAGGCGCATTTCCAGGTCAATTTAACAGTATTTATTATTTCTTCCGACCGGCTGAGGCGAGAAGGGACAGAGGAACGACAGGTCCGCCCGCCTGCACGCCTGATCTCCTGCAAGTTCGTACGTGGCCCCGCCAACACAGGATGCTCTGCTGATGCAGCCAGACCGCATTTCAGTTGGAGGGCTCCTCACCGACAGCGCCTGCCCTGGCCGCCTCCCCCACCTCAAATAACCTTTATTTGGAGCCTTCTTTTACTAATATTCTTTTGCAGTTTGCTCCACCTCAAGCCTCGCCTCCCGTTTTCT